TTGTATGTATGTACTGGTATGTATATATGTACTCAACATGTATATATACGTTGTATAATATACATATACAGGAAAAATAAGAAGTAGCTGCTTTTCAAAGTGTAAGTATATCAAGTAAAACTTGGGAACAAAGTATTTTCCAGATTTTATTAATGAGTTGTAATCTCATGTTTAACATCTTTTGTAGTCTCGTTAATAAAATTTGGTTATAAGTTAATTACAATAGTAATCACTATGAAATATTTAGATAATATGTTTTACATTGCCTTTCAGTTGGGAGTAGTAAACACACAACGTGTAGCAATGTTGAAGATGAAGATGTACCTGTTGGTTTCCAATTTTCGACTACATTTGAAATTCATTCAAATTTGACAGTTTTCTTGTGTGACGAAAGATGCTTAGAAGAGAAAAGATTACCGTACGATATTACAGATGCTTTATTACTGTATGGTGGTCTCTCTAAGATCAATATGAAAACCACTTACAACCAGATGTACCCATCAAAAGCATCATACCAGTCCAAAAAAACCTTTGATTTGGCAGTAAATACAAGGTAACGTTTAATGTTGACCTTCTTTCTCAATCTTTGTACAAACCTCTTCAATTTTGTTAGAGTTGTGATGATCCTAATTTCTCATCAGAATATGTATCTTTATGACCAGTTTAGATATTATACGGACTACAGAATTATTGAACAACCTAAATTTATACAGTAGGTTATAAATATATAACAATACTTTAATTATTATTACCGAGACTGGGTTCTCTTTTCTTAGTGTTTCTTCTTTTGCGAACATATCAAAAATGCTGCTTGTGCCAAACAGTTGGGCCGATTTCAATCCAACTTGGTCAGTAGAATCGGTGACACCTCTCACACATAGGGTGTTCACATCTTTGGGTCAAAAGCCATATGGGCTTATTAGAGTCAAAACATAAGCATTCATGAAAGACTACTTTTGTCACAAATAACATAGCAGTCCTGTCATTTGCACATGCATCCTGATGGTGTTTGGGGTAAAAGGTCATTAGGGCGTCATTCTCCTTTCATGCCATATTTTACAACGCTACAATTGGCAGACATGGGCTAATTTTAATCAAACTTTGCCAGTATAACCGCTGACATCTTCCTACATAGTTTTCACAGCGTTGGAGTCCTGAAACTGAAATGAGCTCAAATTTACCAGGAATGATCTGACTGGGTTCATGTTCTATTGAATATAGTTTCTAGTTATTTTTATATAGTTCATTTATATTCACATTTAATTTCATTTTCTTTTCATTGTCGATGTCGTTTCCGTTTTCATACATGCTTTAATTTTTTTTATTGTTTTATTTCATATTCAAAAATATGCTATTGTTGGAACAAGTACATTTTTCACCGTATTGACATTTAATTATACGAATGTAAAGTTATATATGCACGTTGTTTGTGTGTTTGTCTGTATATAAAAATTTTAGAGAGTGTAGTGCACAACCATTCCTGAATGTACTGAACTGTATTACTGGAAAACCAAGTGAAACCGTCGTTGATGTAAGTGACAATGGCATGCTATTGTACCTTTAATATAAATAGTTTTCTAACACAATACAAAAACATATAGCTTGCTTGTTGTAATTATGCAATCATTTCATAATATAATTTGCCAAGTAATGATGAAACATTATCGCTACTACTGCACTGATTACTTTGCTCGTTTAGTTTTTAATAGGCCTATATTATATATATTTTTAAATTATGTTTAAGGGGTTTTCAACACACGCATATTTACCGTACCTTATTAACTCCTAAACACATGTAACAAAAAATAAGCATATATAAAAACCATTAGTGTGTTCTGCCTCTAGTTGGCAAGTCCTCAGGCATGCAGTTTTTCCAAACAGTTCCCATGTGCCAATTCCTTTAACGCTTGGTATGAGCTTCATGTTTCAGTACTAGTCCAAAAACACCAATATGTTTTCTTCCCCTTTGTGGTTTTCCCATAAAACGGCCTTCAAAAACTGTTTTTAGTCGGTAGTTCTTGAATCGCAGTACATAGACAATCCATGAAATATCTCTGGTTTATAGTTTTAATGTGAGGTCATGCTAATAACCTGCTCATCGTTGACCCTGCTAGGACTATTCCAGCCAATAACAGTAACTAAATCGATTATAAGATATTATTCGTTAAAAGGAAGCCACAGTTCATTAAAAACCAACGGTGTAGCTGCTGTGATCCATACTAACGAACAATGTTTAATGACCTGACGTTCTTCTATCAACTCCAACAGCTCTTCATTTGTTTACCTTTCAGTATATTTTATTTTCATCATTTTCCTTTATGTTCAAATTTCAAGTTCTGTTATTCGAGTTCTATCGTCTTTCCTTAGTTTCTATGTTTAACCTGCATATAATGCTGTATTTCATACCGTTGCTTTAATGATTTGCATACTTTCATATCAGTGTTAACATATGTATATTTACTCTGAACATCATTTTTGCTTCATGGCCACACCAACCCTTGTCCCTGCTACAGTTTTCCCTTGTGGAGGCTCATTCTATACTCTCTTCCCTCAACTCCTAATTTGTCTAGTATCCTTTGCAAACCAGTGTTAGACATAAGGCCAAACAAAATTGTTTATTTGCCCTTCTTTTTTAAATTTTAAAGAAAAATGCTAAAAAAAACTCCTTTTTCATTTTTTTTGTTTTTGTTTTTCTGTCCTTATTTTTTTCAAAGAGTTAGGGGCTGGTAGAGGAGAAGGACGAACAAACAATTTTTTTTTTGGCCTACCTTTTGTCTACTATATGTTTTCCTCCAATCTTGATACCATCCTTTATTATCATGTAGTACTTCACTCATCGTATATTCACTATAAATATTAAATAATATTGCCACGGCTTCACCTTCTGTTTTTATCACAGCTTTATGATTATAATAATATGATTATACAAATTATCGATGGCACGTCTGTCTTTCCAGTCAACATCCACTTTCTCGACGATTTTCATCAACTTAACCCAAATATCACTGTGAAAGGCTTTTCATAATCACCAGCATACGTATACATCCTTCCCATACTGTGATGGTCTGTTAGCAATATTTCTTACAACTGCAAATATATCTCTAGTAGACTATTTTTGAAAAATTGCTTTTTCCAATGTAGTTTTGCCGCCTTTTCTTTAATTCTTTTTGTGAGAACCTTCATGGTAATTTTTGAAAAATGGGACAGCATGATTATTGTCCGGTGTTCTTCACATTTTTCTGTTTGAGGTTTCTTCGGAATTGTGACTATGATTTCTTTGGTGAAATCATTGGCCATTCTCCATTCTAATAATATATACAATTACTTTGGTTAGCTCTTCTTTGCAGTTGGTCATAGATATTTTTATCATACTAACTTAAATTTAAGTGAATATTTACCCTACAAAAATAAGGTAATGTAACAAACATCAATTTATGTTCTGGCCGGTGTGCAAAAGTACATGATTGATGGGTTTCCTACTCGAGGCCATGATGCTGGCCTTGTTTTTCTATGCCAAGCCGACTCGGTACATAGATATGTCACAATAGAGTGAGGGTTTGTAATCTCAGATTATTTTTTTTATGTCTGTAATTATGAACATTCATTTAAAATGTATCACATAACTGACTATATCTAAATATAAACAGATAAAATCTAACAAAATTAGCCAATGAAGAATGATCTATTTAAAGCAAAATTACATATTTTATAGAGTTCGTGTAGATGCGCTGATGGCTCCTATGACAAAATCGCAGTCGATGGTAGCTGTCCGTGTGAATGCAAATGTCTTGATTGCATGACATCTACTCTTGGTCCTGATGGATGTGAATGTCCAGTGATATATGACATATGTCCGCCTTGTTTAGTAGGTGAAATTCAGGTTTTTGATAAGTGCATTTGTCAGTGCGTACCTGACGATCAATGCGGAATTTTACCTACGTGTGTTGTTGGACGTCGAGGGAATTATTGTGATCGACTGGATTGCCGTCCATGCCAAGGTATGGAAGCTTTAATTACTATTTTAGAGTTAAACAATATGACTTCAGGACTGCTTATAATTTTATTTCGTTTTTGTATCTGATTTTTCCAATATGACGTAGCAGTGATATCTGATCGCAAAACTATGTTGCATGATAATTTGTTATGATTTTTTTGTAATGATGATAATGTTGTTGGGATACATTATATATAATATTTATTTTTCAATTTTTAAAGTGTAAGAATATTCACCATATTTTCATATTTATATTTTATTGATTAGGTTGTTCTGGAAATGGAATCTGTATCTCAGTTCCTGGTACCTGTAGATCTAGATGTCTATGTAATAGAAGTTGGGGAGGCACATGTTGTGAGTTAAGGCAACCAGCTAGAGCCTCTGGTGACCCACATCTTCTTACCTTAGACGGTAATACTTTGTTTTGTAAATTAAAATACCGTATAATAGCGACACGGTTATTATTGAATTTAGTCCCAAAACTAAATTTATCACTGATAAACTCTATGAATTTGAAAAAGAACCAATCTGGACAAGGCGATTTATTTTACTCTATACAGTTAATCTAGGTTCAGTTAAATACAATCACCACTTTAATTTAAACATTCAGGTGTTCACTACGACTACTATGGGAACGGTGAGTTTTGGAGCTGTCGCAGCATCGAGAACGATTTTGGGTTACAAGCAAGATTCTATGAGAGTCATAAATCATCTTTAACTGGTGGCATTGCAATGAAACTTGGGAAACATGTCATAACGGTTACTACACCAAAGGAGGCAGACTATGAAACATTGCCAATACTGCGGTAAAAGAAATTATCATTTTATTGTTTTTAAAGCGCGTGATTCTATTTTAGCTTGGTTTCCATACAATCGCTACACGCTAGCCGAATTCGGTGGTGCTGATTGTTCGGAGATTGCGTCGGTACTGCTCTGCGCACAGTACAACCCGGGAGAAAACACTATAGCGACAGTGTAGTGATTTTGAGGAAACACCGATCGGCTTATAATAATGCGACATTTATATAGTACATAAATTTAGTTAGTACCTTACTTCTCAGAACTTATTTCTTTACTAAATTTATATTTATGTTTCTTGAAATATACTTTTACTGCCATAACAGCACAAAAATATCTAAATGCATTGGGCATAATTAAGGTAGTGGCATATTTGTTTATGTTTAATATTAGGCTGGATGGAGAAATACTAGATATAACTAGCGAGATGAAATTTCAATTGGCAAATTCTTCAGTACTCCTGGATGTCCAAATACCACTGAGAAATGGAAGTTCTTCAACTAATCCGACTATGATGCTGGCATTTGAGTACAAATCAGGTAAAAATATTACCATTGATTAATTTCATTTTAGTTATCGAAATAGATATGCAAAAGAACCTTTTGTTCATTTGCTTATTGATCAAACTGTGCAGTAAAATATCAAAGAAGTAAACAGTTTCAACATACATTTCTTGTGTGACTGCACTAAGTGTGCTCGTAAAATTATACAAATAATTGTAATGCTCAGTGGTGTGAGGATACATTGTTTCAACATGAAAAGTCCTATAGTGTTTGCGTGCTTTTAATTTTTGCGCGCCTTTAATTTTCGTGATTTTTGCGATAAAATGACAATGGCGAAAATTAAGGGCGCATGAAATTCGCAAAATTCAGAATCGTAGTTTTGTCTTCTAAAGCAAAGCTACAGCTAAATAAAACTGATATTCTATCAATAAAGGTTTCGTGGAAATGTTCTACTTCTTTCTTGTTTGTTTTTCAAGCATTCAATCATTCAATAACATTTTGAAAGTTAACTACTGCTACAGAATTATAAATGACTAACATCATATTCGTATTCTAGAAATATTAATCTAGGCCATTATAGGCTCCTATATCGCACTTCATACAGCCAGAGTAGAGCTGTGTCGGTTGTCTATTTTTCTAGTCTATGCCTACCTTAAATGGAATAACAATTCAGCTTTTTATTTCTCTACATTACCCATATTACCCATCCGTTGATGAATTATATCAAACTTTTTAGAAACAATTTAATGTTCTTTCGTATTACAAAATACTAGGCTTATGTCTCGTATGTGAACATTCCTGGTAGAGGGAATTGACTTCCTGATGTGTCAGTTCACAGGCGCATGCAATGCATAAGTAGTGTACAGAAGCTGCTCAAATGCATACTGCTGAAGCCCTGGAGTAGCTGCAGTAGGTCTTCCTATGATAACTAGCCTAAAACTTAGCGGAACCTACCAAAAATCTGGTGCTCTAGCTATTGCAGAATGGTAGGTTTCCGCATCATGTTAAAAAATGGACTGAAGTTGTAAAAAGGAGAAAATACGGTAACACTAGGCTGCAAAAATATTTGAAACTGTAAAATCGCGAAAACATAGTGCCGCTAAAATAAAGGGCTTTACATTTTGTAAAATTTAATATGTAAGATTGAAATTGTGAAAGGTGGTAAAGCATAAATACAGAAAAAAACACAACATCAATAACAATAGGTCTCAAACTAATTTTGGCCATTTTATCAACATTAACAAAAATAAACTTTTTTCCACAAATAGGCGTGTCTGTTGGAATCGAAGTGCAATTTAGCGAGAAGATAGGAAGACTGTACCTTAACACATTACTCGCACCGACTATCAGCTTTGTCGATAAAACGGAGGGTCTATGTGGCTTTATGGATGATGATCCGGACAATGATTTTGTGGGATTAGATGGCACCCTCTATCATCATGATAATGTAACGGATTTCGTTCAAACATGTAAGATTAACGTTATATTTTTGTCGACAACCTTGTTATTTGCCTCAAATGTTAATAACACGTTCAATTGTCGATTATTTAAATTTCTAACCCGTCATTTTAGGGAAAATTGAGAGTTCAAATGCCAATGGTGGTTTATATGATTCATGGTCATGGAATTCTTCCAATTTTCATGTGGATGATGAGCTGGATGATTCATATACAAAGGAATACAAACCTATCTACAGTACAGATGAGGTTCAACAAGACATTGTGAAGGTAGAGTGCATGCCTTAGTCTAGGTGTAGTTCTCTACAAAATTTTGTAATTTTACCTAAATTGTATTTAGGAAACTCACTAATATACAGGCAATTTCCTTATCTTACACTTCTGCCGCAGCCGTTGTGGTCCACATGGCAATTTAATTTGGTCCTTGAGGAAAAACAAATATTGAAAAGTTTGATGAATACGTTTTCAATAAAACAAAATGGATAGTGTGCTCGGGAATGGTTTGAAAATGAGGAGGATGACATAGGCCATAAATATTATAAATAGCATCAAATAGGCCTATTAATTTCCTTTCGTGTTCCTATTCTTTACTGTGTGTTACAAACAAAATAAAACGCTTTATGATGTAGACGTATGGGTTACCCCAGATAGATCTGAAATTAAAGACTGTAAGCAGAACTATCAAAAAAAGAAGAAAAAATCTCAAGAATTGTATTCTTATTAGCTCAGCAAATGTGGGGAAGTAGAAATTGTGTGTCGTATACATTATGGAATTTTAATGATTTCAGATCCCTGATACATGATTTGAGACCCATGATAGAAGAAGCCAATTATATATCACAAATGTAAACACAACTAAAGCTACGTTACTTTGCAATACGTCTATTGGGTTTTTATCGTAAATAGCATTCGTACTTAAATTAAACATAAAGGTAATAAACAGCTTTGTGCCGCCAAGCTATGTCTGTTTTGTTCTGATCATTGTGTTTCATTGCCTTCATTTTCAACTCATACTTAGAATTACACAAAATTGTGTGCCCTCAGGTTCCGTCCTTGTGTGTTGTTTTGTTAACTGTGATCCTTAATAGCATTTCTTTTTATTTTATTGTAATCAATTACATTGATAAAGCGACCCACCAAACATGCAGGAAACGTTTTGTGTTTTTGAGAAAATAAGTATAGACTCTAAGAGTAGGCTTTTGTATTGTGATAAATTACATTGTTAAAGCGACCCACCAAAGTTGACTAACGACTGTTAGACTGATGACACTACCCCCACAAATTTCCCGCCACCCAATTTTGAGTCATGACCCAACCCGACGCTGGTATGGTACAATTAAAAGTACAATTTGAAATTGCCAAAAATCTTAGCAGAAAAAATTTTTACCCAGATGTATAACGATTGCTTTCAACACAGCGGAGATTATCTTTAGCCCGTAAGATCAACTCAAAAAACTATTTGACTCTTCAAACAAATTAAAAAAGAACCAGGATTAAACTTGAATGGAAAAGCGTACACATTATATTTTGTTTTTGTTACAAAATTTATCAAAAAGTGTATATTAATCAAAGATTAATTTTCTCCTTGTCTGATCGTTCATTTGTCAGTTTTGCAAACATTTATTTGATTGGTTTATATTTGATCTATTACAATTCAGATAGCAAAAGATGTTTGTCTGAAAGCAATACCAGATACAAAGGAAAACAAACTATTGATTGCCTCCTGTGTTTATGATATTGCAGTAACGAATGACACGTCATTTGCCTCTCAGCAAACGCTGCAAACTGGTAAGCTGTGTGCATCACCAAAACTGTACAGTTTCAAGTTTAATTTTTGCGAACGGAGGTGGTGATAATAAAAACAATAATGATGAAGATAATAATAATAATTATTATTACAAGTCAATTAATTAATTATTATTGTCGTTATTGTTATTGCAATTTTATTATTAGAGTTATTGTTGTCGTTATATGTATTGTTATTGCCATCATTTTGTTGATTAGAATCGTTGTGGTTATCGTTATTGTCATTACTTTGACTTAATGGATCTGTCAAACTTCAATTTTCAGGCTGTCCTTACCAGTGTTCTGGCCGAGGAATTTGTGTCAACAACACGTGCGAATGTTTGCCTGGGTGGTCTGGTGAAAACTGTAGAAATGGTAACTTAGTTCCATACTGAAAATTTCCTCACCTGATTTTGCATTTTTTTTTTTACAATTTTTTCAACTGTAAAATAATATAAAATACCTACATTCGCTGGTATAATCTTTTGATGAACTTTATTATCTTGTCATTTAGGTTCGTGTATTTCAGATTGCATAAATGGCGAGTGTGTGTCCGGTTTTTGTCGATGTAATGTAGGTTGGGAAGGAGATACATGTGAAGAATTTGGTACGAAAAAGTAGTGCTTTAAGTTTCCTAATAACAATCATTATAATCAGTTTCGCTGAAACGTCGAGACAACATAAACATTTTTAGTGCTAAATCTAGACACATAATCAGAGGTATTAAACAAATTGTAAGAGTATCATCTTATGATTTTTTTCCAAGAAATAATACGTCATTGTTATCATGTCATTCAAATGGATTAGTAAAATCATAATACTTATGAGAAGTACCATTAGCCTTTTTATGTTTTTTTTTTTTCAGCCACTTGTTTTGGCGTTAATAATTGTACCGATGAAGAGCATGGCGTGTGTCTTCAAACAGATGTCTGTTTATGCAACAATGGATTTACAGGTGAAATTAATAAAAACTAAAGTATGCGCTTGTGTGAACGTTGTGATTTATTTTTTGATATAAAGAAAAAATACGACCACTAAAAGAAGATATGTTTTTCTATCGTGATTTGATACGAGAAATATGCGGAACTATTGAAATCCAGCCTCACACATTCACGTTGTCGTCTTGAACGGCATTAGAAACGTGACCTGGCAGATGTCTTTGGTATTTTTTTCAACTTTTATCCAAAACTTTACCTTACTCCTGTTTAAGTTAATCAGAACAGGAATGTATTATTCTCTCGGTGAATGTCAAGCTAACTAACATTCATCAGTGGTAAATCCCGTGTTCAATTGTTGACTTTCTTTTGTGGGCACCTTCATTTGTTATCATATTTTTTTTTTTCTGAAACGATTAACGCGACTCATCAACATTTCTTCGCAACCCAAACATTGGGTCGTGACTAATGAGCTTTTCTAGCACGAATTCATTTTTATTTTTCACATTTTACAGTAAGTTTAAAAAACAAGTGTATCTTTAATACGTACGTGCCATTTGTGTGACTTTTCAAAACAGCAAGTTACGATTAGATGCGTTTCATTTTGGGGTATTAAAAGGCGTCGGTGATTGGTGGTGTCGGGATTTTCCTGTAGGCCTAGGCCTAAGGGACTCCCTATGCATAGCTTATAGTAGCCAGGCATTTTTTAGTCACGAAATAACCAACTATTCAAGGCAACAAGGGAATGAATATTATTTGGCTACCACTTCCAGTTTCCAAAACCAAACTTTAAGATATGCCAAAATCTGATTTTGAAAAGCATGATGAGAGAGGAAAACGGAATAGCCTAGACCTAAGGCCAGACGCTTAAAATTTGCGAAAAGAACAGCATGTCTACAAAGTATTCCTTCGCGTGTGAAACCTCTCTATTATCTATGTTCACTATTTAATTTTTACACCTTTAACATTCCAGGCGAAGATTGCAGCGTCATTCCAACTTGTCATGGAGTCGCCAATTGCTCTGGTAACGGTGTCTGTGTTGACGTAGATTTTTGTGACTGCTATGACCAATGGAAGTCTGCCACATGTGACACATTGTCCTGCCACAACGTTGATGGTTGTTCTGGTAGGTTGTATATTATGTTTGCTCATATTGTTATATTTTTAATTTATAGATTATTTATCTGAAACAAAATATTTTTTTTTCTTTCTAAAAATCCAAATAAAGAAAGAATTAACAGTTTATTAAACGAATGAAATCCTGATTAATTTTTTCAGTGACATTCATCTTTCACGTTTATATAATAATGATTTACACGTAGGACATGGCACTTGTATAAGTTTTGACATTTGTATGTGTGACGTCGGCTGGACTGGTGAATCTTGTGCGTTGCCTGACTGTTCTGAAAGGAACCGATGTAACGACCAGGGTGAATGTACAGGGCCAAACGAATGTAGTTGTTACGTCGGGTATCAAGGAGCTAACTGCAGTGAATCCGTTGAATGCATTATGCTGGACAACTGCAATGGTAACGGTGTTTGTGTTGAAGACACAGCTATAAATAATGGAACATTTTCTTGCGAGTAAGTTCTAGATATTTATAGTTTCACAGTAGGCCTACCACTTTTTGTTACAAGCCTGACAAACGTTGCATTGCATACTAGCCGCTAGTCGAAGAATCCCTATCCGCTCTTTGTGGATGCTTATCAACGGACGCCGTCTGCTGATTGTTGGTGACAGTCCGAGATCATTAAAAATTATAATTTGCGCGCCCTTCGTAGCGTTGCGTTCTCCATGAAAGCGCATCACATTGAGTGCCCGGCTTTTTTTGAGTAAGAATCATGGGCAGTGCGTTTTGTAGAACGAGGTGCAAACTGCAGGCAATGAATCTGACAAAATCCGCAAACTCTATCTGCGAACAAGATTTTCCTAAAGATAATGTTTTTGCCTGCTTTCATTATCGTTGATTTTATCACCATCATTATCATCACAACAACAATTACCATCACAACAACAATTACCATCACAACAACAATTACCATCACCAACACAATCTGCATCCTATAATATTTCAGGTAGGTACACTGATATCTTTTAAAATTTTGCTGTTGGTCTTGATCGGTGGAAACAGGTTTCCAGAATTTCCAGTTACACAGTAATTGGTCTAAACTGTATTCTCTTTGTACAGGTGTTTTACCGGTTATTCAGGAGAAAATTGTACAGATTTCTCTTGTGAATCTGTCAATCATTGTTCAGGACATGGAAATTGCATTGAACCTGACCTCTGTGTGTGTAATGTTGGCTATACTGGCATTAATTGTTCATCTCCCTCATGTGAAAATCTCGGATTTTGTTCCGGTAAGCTAACCTGTATTAATTGGTCTTAAGGATTGCCATGTTCAAAATTGGCTGTCATGAATGGCCTTACAGGGATTTCAAAAATTACTAGTTTTTTTTTCTACATTCTAAAGGTAATGGACGATGTACTTCATTTGACGTGTGCGAATGCTATTCTTACTGGTCTGGTGAAACATGTGACCGTGCCTTTTGTACTGGTAACTGCAATGGACGTGGAGATTGTGTTGCTCCAGAAACATGCGAATGTTACGTAGGTTTTGAAGGAGAGACCTGCCAGAATATCACACAAGAGAACCGAAATCAACCGACGTTTGATTATGAAGAGTTGAATATCACTTTACTTGAAAATATCACTGTTGGAACATACCTTTTAACGGTGCATGCAAGTGACAATGACACAGGAAAAAATGGTGAAGTATGGTACCGTATTCTTCCTTCTGAAGGATCTATCTTTTTCGCCATAGATCAGGAAAATGGAGATTTATTTACTGCTGCAGAATTTGATTATGAAAGTCAAAATCCTGATATCACTCTGTCAGTAGTTGTTGAGGACAATGGATTTCCACCTATGAATGATTATGCTACTATTAATATCACATTGCTTAATATTAATGACAACTGCCCCGAATTCGTAGGAGAATATCCAGACATAACTATTCCGCTAAACACCACTAATGGGACAGTTATTACTAATATTTCAGCAACAGATTTAGACGCTGGTGAAAACGGATATATTACGTTATCAATCAAGGTTGAGGGCGACAAGTCAAAATCAATGTTTGAATTAGATCCCAACAGTGGAGAACTAACTGTCTCCGGTTATCTTCAGTCAGGAGAGTATGCAATCAAGGCCATCGCTTCTGATAACGCAGCACAGCCATGCAGTACCGAGAAAGCATTTTCAGTATACATACCTTATGACCAAAACTTTGTAGCTACCACACAATGTATTCATACAACTGAAGACCATGAACAACCAACAACGACAGTTTCAACGACAATCCTTGAGGATATTACAACATCAGTCCCAACAACTACGAACATTGAGGATGTTACAGCATCAGTCCACACAACCACGAGTCTTGAGGATTTTACAACATCAACCCCAACAACGACGAAAATTGAGGACGTTACAACAACCACCTCAACAACGACGAGCTCTAAGTACCTTGGATGGTCACTCCCAACAACGACGAACCTCGAGGACGTTACAACATTATTGCCAACAGCAACGAGCCTTAAAGATGTTGCAACATCAGCCCCAACAACGACGAGAATTGATGACGTTACAACAGCCTCATCAACGACGAGCTCTATGGACCTTACAGAGAAACTGCCAACAACAAAAAGCCGCGAGGACTTTACAACATCAGTGCCAACAACAACGAGCCTTGAAGATATTACAACATCGGCCCCAACAACGACGAGAATTGAGGACGTTACAACAACAACCACCTCAACAACGACGAGCTTGAAGGACCTTAGAACGTCACTCCCAACAACTACGAGCCTTAAGTACGTTACGGCATCAGTGCCAACAGCAACGAATCTTGAATATGATACATCAGCTCAAACAACGAAGAGAATTGAGGACGTTACAACAACAGCCTCAACAACGACGAGCTCTAAGGACCTTACAACATCACTCCCAACAACGACGAGCCGCGAGGTCGTTACAACATTAGTGCCAAAAGCAACGAGTCTTGAAAATGATAGAAAATCAGCTCCAACAATGACGAGAATTGAGGACATTACAACAGCAGCCTCAACAACGACGAGCTCTAAGGACCTTACAGCGTCACTGCCAGCAACAAAAAGCCTTGGGGACTTTACAACATCGGTGCCAACAACAACGAGCCGTGACGATATTACAACATCGGCCCCAACAACGACGAGAATTGAGGACGTTACAACAACAACCCCAACACTGACGCGCTCCAAGGACCTTAGAACGTCACTCCCAACAACGACAAGCCCCGAGGACGTTACAGCATCAGTGCCAACAGCAACGAGCCTTGAATATGATACATCAGCCCAAACAATGAAGAGAATTGAAGACGTTAGAACAACAGCCTCAACAACGACGAGCTCTAAGGACCTTACAACGTCACTCCCAACAACGACAAACCGCGAGGACGTTAACACTGCAGTGCCAACAGCAAATAGCCTTGACGATGTTACAACATCAGCCCCAACAACGACTAGAATTGAGGACGTTGCAACGACAGCAACCTCAATAACGACGAACTCCAATGATCTTACAGCATCAATGTCAACGACTAGCCTTAAAGGTGCTACTACATTTGTCACAACAACGACAGAACCTGATGGTAAGATGTCAACTCAGCAGAAACCTGTTACTGATAATCTTACGACAACACCACCTTCCTCAGCAAAAACTCTTAAAGAAACATCTACATCAAACGAAATTACCAATATTCCAGACCCGGTTTTAACGTCAGAATTCGATGGCGAAATGTCAACTCCAAAGATATCTATTAGCAGGGCTGTTACAAGTGTCCCTAAACATGAGTCCACGGCGAATATGGTACAACCGACCAAAGGTAAGGGCGTTTCAATCCTACAAATTAAATTGATTGTATTGCGTTATTGGATAATTTCTATTAAAATATGACTATGTTTTTTTGTTCATCTCATGCATTTCCATATTCATTCCGTTTAACTGATAAGAAAACGACTACTGTATGCCAACATAAGTGCGCAGATTCCAACACTGTTACAGAAAAATACAGGTGAATCTTTAGATACTAACAAAGCATCAAACAATTCAATAGAGCTTGTATTTAATGTGTGCGTTCTGAGACTAGAGACACAGTGATAATAAAGTTGATTCAATCTAAACGTGGCTACACAGCAAGTTGGCTCAGCAAGATTTACATTTTTCAGATGATTGCATAATGAATGCTGATTGCAGTAATGGAGCAAAATGTTACTTCGGGGTTTGTGCGTGTGTCTGCCCTTACGGTGGCCCTACCTGTGATCAAGGTGAGCTGCATTTCATGTTTAATTTGCTATTATGTCATACCTTTAAATACACGGCATATCTTATGACAATAAATATTTCAAAGGTAATGTGGTGTTATTATTATTAATATTATTAATGTTATTAGTGTTTATGTTATGGTTCGGGGATTACACTGGGCTTGATTTGAAACGAGTCGACCCCCAGCACTCGGAGTATATATATATATAAACAACACGATGAAGTACAACGACTTCTTTCAAGCTTTATTATTGAATCGCATAATCGGACCTTTGCGCGTGTTATTCTTTTGAATATATTTCGTTTATACATGTTTCCTTTTATTTTTTGGAAATCTCAATTTATACATATTTTATGTCTTATATATTGTATATATTTTTAATATTTGAAATAAAAGTAATCTTGAAAAAAAAATTATTTATTATTTTCAATCTCCCAATTCTCTTCTAGTGGGACAATGTTTCGAAACATCCATCCGACTCACTAAGCTACGTCCTCTATTTGGTGATGGTGAAGCTCAGTTCTTAGGATCGTTACGAGATCCAACATCGCAGGAATTCAAAAATGCATATACATCTGTTCAGAATCTGGTAATTTTATACACTTAGTATGAATTTACAACACTATAACGGTGCGCTCGCTTCGATGGCTTACCCTCTGATATCTTAACGTCGCGATTTCCTCCAATGGAAGTCACTAAAAGATGTAATGGTAATAGTAATATATTATAAGAGGGGAGGTGCCTCCACGCCTGAACCGTGTTATTAAGTATATGAATGGTCTATTACAATTAAATCAGTGGAAATGTTTGTTGTTAACATCATTTGGTACGAATACATTATTAAACTTGATTTTGATGGCTAACACTATTATTTAAAATACCAAACAGGTAACATGAACTGTAAGCATTGATCTTTAGTACCGTTTATCGTCTGTTGTGTGTAAATGGTATAACACTGCAAAACAACTCGCTGAGTTTCGGCTAGCAAATGTGGAAGTAAACACGGTGCCTATTGAGCAGCTACCGGTCCAGCATTATTTTTCAGTCAATGTAAAATGTTGTTTAATATTGAATTGTGAGATCGAAAATATGATAATCTTCGTTGTTCTTGATACCGTCGTTCATCCGTCGTTTTGACTCTCTTTTTAACTCAATTGCCTTTACACTGTTTTTTTCCTTCTTTTTGTCAACTTTTTCGATTTAAATCTCTTGTGAACGGTTTTCTTTAAAAATAATTAACACCTTACCTTGAGTGGCTCCATTAGCCTTGTCTGGGGTGGTTGTCATTATAAATAAAAATTCCCTTTGTATCTCAGACTTGTATTGAGTACCTCCGTTGTGCATTGTATCTACGGAATTACGGCGTAATTATATTATTTTTATAGATGAAAGAAAAATCACAGAACACCATAATTAAAGACACTATAGAAAGAAATATTTCATTCAGTGGAGTTGATTAGCTTGGTGGTTAAGATGCTTGCTTTTCAATCCTAGAGTCCCGGTTTCAATTCCTGTCGCATGATTTAATCTCACGGTTTATGTAAAGCATCGTGTGTGTATTTATGTTTGTCATGTGAATGGATTGCCACCTATCTAATAGGACAGTGATTAAGTCGCTATTGGTAATCCTTGGCCATGTGCCTAAAGGAATAAAATAGATGAAAAATTTTAAAAATAACTAAATCAATGGTCATTCTGAAATAAGTTTTAATTTAATGTCTAAATTGACACTAATGTAATTATAAAATAACCTGTAAATTGACACTAATATAGTATATTGTGTTTGATATCCTTGGTAGGCCTATTTTGGTTATTTTCTTCTCGAATTTTGGAGAAAGGAACTTAAGAAATCAAGGGAGTGCAGCTACTACAATTTCATGAATTAAAAAAAAAGTGTGTGTGTATTGTGTCGTTGCTGTGGAGGTCTTTACCAGGCTATCCTGCACTGTGTTGGATGTTTAATACTTTGATGGAATTCTGCTGTATATTATATTCTACGGTATATTATTTCCTCTGCCTGCCCTCTGCTTTTATTGTTTAATATATATTTGCCATTTAGTTTTTTCCCATTCCAACTTGTCGTTGTCATAATTATTATTGAAGATGACGGTAATTGTTATAGGCTTATGCTATTTTAGTAGTAACGTTAGCGAGGAGTGGGGTCCCGACAGAGGCTTGACAATTGGCCCAAAAGCACCTAAAGAACTTTGGTAAATATTGGCTTATATTAAGTTACTCTTGAGACGCTTTATGCTACCTCCCACTTCTGCTTGATATGATACCTTAGAAGCAGTGGCGGACTGCCAAGGCATGTATGAAGGTATGCTCTGCATACCCAAGCTACAACTCATTAAAATGTTTTTTATTGTGCCTTTTCTTCGTTTTATTTAGCATTTTTTGGCCAAAATTGTCTATACCAACTTCCTCTTTTTTCTAGAATTGCTACTTTTCACTGTATTTTTTTAGTTTCATTTATTTTTTTTTCAATCGTTAGGCCTTTTGGTAGATATGATAGTAGGCCTATCGCTTCGTATTCTCAGCTGTTTAGTTCCGTATGGTTGGTTGCCGTAGTGCACTGACAACGCCTGCGAATCAATAGAAGTGGTATCGTACCCTACAATGTAGACTTTCCACAAGTTTCTAATTTATTAATATTTCCTAGTAGGCCTATTAGCTAATTTCGAAGAGCGCCAGCAGCGCTGGTTTATGTCGAGAAACTTTTGAAAATGTTTTTGAAATTGGATGCGAATTAGAAACTCCCAGAAAAAGTATAGTACGGAACGCCATGCAAATAAGTAATGTACAACACCATTGGTGCCAAAATAAATATATTTTCAACATTCACTGATTAAGACCAAATAGGGACGGGAACCCAGTCTACCTACAATGGTTAAATGTGCTATTTTTATAACCGAGTGTTGGCGTTCAATTAGCCAAATTAACACAGATTTTTGGAAGCACTGTTTCCAAGAATATGTGCGCATGCTCCTCTTTTCACTGCTCCCGGGCCTCCACTGCCGAATGGGTAACGTGTATTGCCCGAAATTATTAAGCTCTCAATAATTAAAGTTAAAATAAATCTGCATACAGACTACCGGTATTATGCCTAGAAGAAACTTGTACAAATTAAACTGAGACTTTCTCAGACTGAGACTGAACTGAGACTTATTAAACGTGCTTACTATTGAATCTTTTGAGAAAGAACTACAAATATGCAAGTATAAAAATACACATACCGTATCAATTCGAGTAAACGGCATGGGCTTTTATTGTTGAAAATTGTTTTTGAGGGCGTTTATTCGAGGGAGGCGTTTGTTTGTTTTTTGGGGGTTTTCTGGGGGTTTTTTTTTTTTTTTTTTGGTTTTTTTGGTTTTTTCTTTGTATGTGTAGGCCTATTTACTCATTGAGGTATCATATCTCCTTGATATAGCCTACTCAAAAAAACTTAATTATAAATGCGGAACTACAACACATACTTACTGGCAAAATGTATTACAGTATTGCGTTATCATGAAATCATATTATCCCGACCAGGTTAAAATAGATGTAATTATACTGCAGTAGAGCATTAATAAAATGTGTGTGTGCTTCCATTAGGATTAGGATTTTTTTGCAATAATTTGGTTGTGGAGGAAGGTGTGTATTCAAAGTCAAAATACACTCCTTGGGGTGTTTATTCAAGGTTGGAATAAATACGGTAATTGCATTTTATCTTTATAGAACGCAGTCTTTTAGTAGGTAAAACAGGTGGGACTTTTCCAACTAGCAGCCCATAGCATACTCATACATTTTGCCCTTATATGGTCCGCCAATGCATAGAAGTAATATTCCTGATGTTATTAGCAAATGCTGTCTTTACTAACGTTGTACTGCTTTTGTTGATAAAGATGAATGTAGTTGCCGACGCCTCTAACATACTGCAGGACATCAAGATCACTGCATTTCGATCAGGAAGTATCTTTGTGGACATGAGCTGGGTTGTCACTGACGAATCCGCTGGAGAACAACAAGTAAAGGAAGCATTTAGACAAGCACTCGAGTCAACAAATGATACCGACATCATATTTGATTTATTCAGCCTTCATGTAGAGCTAACAGAAGGCAAGTATAACTGAATTGTTATTTAGTTGTTGGTTTTGAATTAATACAACTCTCCAATGTAATGAATTTACCATTACACTCCAAAGCATTGTAAATAATATTTTCTTTATATTTATTTCAGTAAATGAAGTAGACGACAAAAGCAGCCCGGTACTGGTGTACATTGTTGCAGTTGCATGCTTTGCGGCTCTTTTTGTAATTGTGTTTTTTCTTGCTGTCAAAGTATTCCTTTTAGCCAGGAGTGGCGTCAAGACTGGCCCAAGTCCGATGCCTCCAGTGGATGGGCCGGTTCCCCCGGCGAGACCAACCCGTGCGTGGTAGGGCGTCACCCAAAATCATTCGAAAGTAGTCCTTAATCTACTAATATGTAGTAAATACATATATTTTTTTTTCTCTCCGACGAATTGCGGTTTTCTCCCCCTATGGCGCCACCTCTGGTTTTTACCGAGGTGAAGGCTAAGTAGGTTTATTCATTTTTCGTTTATGTCCGCGTGCAAGACGCTATTTTACAATTCGAAATCTGGTGTCTTTCTGTGTATACCTAATGTTGTAGTTCATATAATAATATATATATTTTCACCATAGTTTGTATTTGTATGGTTCTCTTTCTTGATATTTATATGTAAATCGGATTTTCAAATTGTTTTAATAATAATAATAATAATAATAATAATAATAATAATAATAATAAAATAGTACTACTATTACTACTACTACTACTACTACTACTACTACTAATAATAATAATAATAATAATAATAATAATAATAATAATAATAATTGATTAAATGGTCATTTTTACTGTATTCCTCTATTTTTATTATGGATTTTGTATTGTCTCTATTTTTGATATTTATATGTTTATCTTGTTGCCTATCGTTAATAATTATAATGATTTCTATAATTATTTTCTTTGTGATTGTAGTTTGAAGTTTAAATTTAATGGAGGTTTCTCTTGAGGTTTTTTTTAATTTCTATATATATATTTTGAATGATTGTTGGTACTTGATATTTTAAGTATTTTTCGATTTTAATACTTTTGAGGTTTTTTGTAAATCTTATCATAATTCAATTTATTTTTCAAAGAGTTTGATAATAAAACCAAAATCAGAAGAGTTATGTAAATTGACTAGCGTAATCTGTAAGGTGCGCTACGTATAAAAGGGTTAAATGCGGTTTGTGTGTGTGTGTGTGTGTGTCTGTCTGTCTGTCTTGTTTACTTACATACAGGCAATTTAAAGTACCGTATGTTTAGAACAGGTATGTAGGTGGTGGGTACCAAAGATCTTATAAACACAATATAGCGTTCTCCGCGATTTACGCGTAACAAATAGAAGCGTCGGTCAAGGTTCAAAAGTTTCCCATTTAGCAAGAGGGCGTCATTCATACGCTATTACCGAAGAGAAAAAGTAATAAGCTTTGGAAGAGGGCGTCCTATCTGTTGCCATGGATCTGAGATGGTTCCTGTTCTGCTGTTCACAGGCGGTGTACTGTATGGTCAGAGCA